GCGTAAGTTCTGCCATAAATCCAACAACAGATTTTCCAAATGCCTAACCACCTCAGAAATTTCTACAAATAAAGATTGTAACCTTAACACTGGAAAAAACTGAGTATGTTGTCTAACCTCTGTCATTTTAGTATTCAAATGTCCCCTCTCCAATGACAATAAAGAAATAATAAAATATGAAAACAAAATATGAATATAATAATATAAACATGAACAATGAAAAAAGGGAAATACTTTATCAATGGAAATTAATTGAAAGAAACAATTTCTGAGAAATCTTGGACATAAGAGTAGTTATTACACAAAACATTGCAGTGTAATGTCAGGGCTCAAAGGCACCAAAGTTGAGGGAAAAAGTCCTCAGGAACAAGGGAAAATGTTTGTATAAGAAATACTGACAACCTTTGAAGGAGTTCTCGATCAACTGTTAGAGCTATGTAGAGTGCTGGCAAAGATATCTACATGTAGAAATCTACTGCTGTGACTTCTGACTGCCCTTGGCTGTGCTGTTATTCACACCAGAATGTCAGGCTCTTTCCACTAGATGGTGCTAATACTTGCTGTTGCAGTTCAGACCCAGAGTAAGGGCAATTAGCAAGAAAAGATTAATCATATATTCAATAAAGGCACATTGTACTCATAAAAAATGCTGACAAATAATTAGATATCATCAGAAGTACCACAGAGAAATAATATATGTTTAAAGTCACTTAAATGAAGCCATTACTACAGCTCAATGGGGTTATATAGCAAGAGGAATAAAAAACATTCATGAAGATAAATGGATGGAACTATATAGCCTGAAGAAAGTAATAAAAGGAAAAGACTATATCAACAGCTTCTGCATTGCAGGAATTGTTCAAAGGAATTCTCTAGAGAGAAGGAAATGGTATGGTAAGAACTCCGATTACCAAAGAAAGCAGTGTTGTGAATGATTATATGAATGTGCAACAAAATCTTAACTTTCTATATTCAAATCTACATTCACACGTTTTCTTACATGATGGGACTATCAATAATGTAATAGTTTATAGATAATGATAATAAAAAACTGAATGATTTCAATTTTGTAAAGAATGGACACCAGGAGTTGGGAACATGCTAAGATACTTGCACTGCCCGTGAAAGAGTACATTGTACTTAGAAAGAGCATTTAGATATGCTGCAAATAGATTTCAGTAAGTGGGAAATCACTAAAAATATACAAAATATACTTGATTTCCTAAGGGAGCAGAGAAAAGATCTAAAACATAGAATTACAATGAGTAGACAGAAAGTATGAGAAGTTTATACATACATAATCTGTAAGGAGTAAACAAACTTACAAATGTGCATAATGATCTAACTAGATCAATGATAAGTTTCTGCTTGAATTTTCTGCATAATAATTAAAACTTAGAGATAGTAGATCAGAAGAGAAGGACCAACTTTTGTTCCTATACAAGAAAATCCATTTTAAATATTAAGACATATACTGCAGAATCTATCTGGACATACCCTTTGATGTATTCAAAATTTCAGCTATACAGAAAGAAAGAGTCTGACATATCTCTACTATAAAAGTATAGCTACAATTAAGAACATTGAAATGCACTCTGGAAAATCTCCAAGGAGTTAGGTTTTAAGTAGAATGGTAAGTAGGAGCTAATATTTACATAAATTATCTCAACTGAGCCATTCCTCAATACATTTAAAAAATTTTATGATCTATACAATCAATGTATTAAATATTTGTAAATGGGGATATTTTAAAAGTAAAACAACATGAAGATACATAGATTTAATATAAAGGCATACCAAATATATTTATGTGCCCATGAGATAATGTACGTACAACTTACATTATACATAAAATTAAATTATACATAATTATACATAAACAAAAGACTAAGGGAATAAAGGGACCAATTAAAGGAAAGTATTTTTCCTGGAGGCATAATGAGTCTTAATAGATATTACACTAAACAGAGTATCAAATCACAATGGAAATAGGAAGCTAAAACCAAGATCTACAACGTTTGCAGAGATTTCTGACACTTCTAGATCAGTAAGAGATTGATTAGAAAGTCAGTAATGACATAGTTGAAATCCATACCATCAATGGGAGTCATTTGACAATACAGAACACTGCATTTCAATAACTCTAATGCACATAATCTTTTCAATTAATGTCGTGCATTCACCAACACAGCTGATGACTTGTTCTACAACATATTCCTTACAAATATAACTTTCATAAATATTATATTAAATGCTCCAAAGTTACACTGAAATAAAACTGGAAGGCAGTAAGTTTAGAAACCTCTCAAGAAGAAAACATGCCATCACAAATTTTAAATTGCCCATGTTATAAGGAAATCTTCAGAGAAATTGAAGCCTCTCACAGTATACCTGGATAGGAATGTGTAACATTCACAGAGGGCTAACACAGTGCCTAGTATGCTAAAGAACCTATGTCAAGCTAGGATACAATTTCTATTATACAATTGTATAACAATTCCAAAGACTATAGTAACACATATTTTTAGAACAAAAATATCTTTGTTCACATAGGGCATTACTGTCTATGTAGAAAAATCTAAAGATACATGAAAATATTCATGGAATTAGTGAGTTGTAGCAATATGATACAATACCAAAATGCATCATTTGGCTATATTTTCTCTAAAATTGATTTCAATTGAAAAAAGAATAGTATATACATACCATGAAGAGATAAGAAAAAGAAGGAAAGGAGAGAGGATGGATGGAGAGAGAAGATAATATAAAGAGAGGAGAAAGATTTTCAAATAACCTTTAAGAGCACGTAGGAAATAAGTTCCATGTACTACCAATTTTTCCTACCAATTTTAAATTACCCATAATATTCACGCAATCAATTTTTCCAAATTCATTAAAAGTTATTTATTATTCAGTGGGACTTTTGACCCAATAGATAGCACAGTCAAAAAAAAAACCCCAATTGACACATGCAAGGATAGAAACAAGTAACAGAACAACCTAAAAATGCCTTTAACTTCACCATATGTGCAAGAGACTATGGCAGATAAGCTACCAAATAAAATTTGTCTACATGATTAGATGAAAAGCCAACCCACTCAGAATTTAAGACAGGCAAAACCATGAGAGATGGTAAAGCTATAATCAGTAATCAATCCTGTGGGTGTCTCAGACCAAAGTGAAACTTGTCATCAAATACTCTTCTAGAGACACTGAAGGTGATGATCTGAGATGCAATTTTTCTTCCAACACTTCTGACACCAAACCTGTGGTCTTTCTTGAACCCAACCTCATTCTCCAACCCCAGTCAGATGTCTCAGAATGTAATTCTGATAAAACCTAGACTTAGCACAGTCCACAGAAATTCAGATTTTGGTCCCACCACATTGCCTCCACTGCAAATGCCTGTGCAAAGCAAGTGTTCACTCTATCTAGTCACCACTCACCTTCCTGAAGTGATAGATGCTGGCACCTGAGTCACCTCATTAATGTTAATTCTCACCTTGTTAGAAGATGATTACAAAAAACAAAGATGCTCCTATTGCTCAGGACATACTAGAGAGAGCAGTCCTTAAAAATTATACTACATATGCATGTCAACTCTCAAATACACAAAATCTTTGTGCAGCAGGCAGAACCTGAATTTGTCTTTCAGACTGTTCCTTCTCAGTCTTTCTGAACTGCAACAAATTACAACTACCTAAAGACAAAACAGAACAGGTGAAATGGTTTTCCCAACTACAATAATCCATCTGGGAAAGCAGCTATAATTCCAGAACTCTGACTCCAGCCTTTCTGTTTAGAAGCATCACCATGCCTGTAAACATCCTAAAAAGTTACATGAAACCTTCCACACATTTTAACCCTTATACTTTGCAACTTTCCACTTTTTATATCTGAACCAAAGGTTGAACTAATCAGTGGAAACATCTATAAAATAAATTTGAAAAAGCTCAAAAGTACCAGGCACCAGTGACTCATGTAATCTTAGCTACTCAGGAGGCTAAAAACTGAGGATCGAGGTTCAAAGCCAGCCTGTGCAGAAAAGTCGTGACTTATCTCCAGTTAACCACCAGGAAACCGGAAGTGGTGCTGTAGCTGAAGAACTCAAGGACAGCACCCAGGCCAAGAGTTCAAGCCCCACAACTGACAAAAAAAGCTCAAAAGTTAGTTTTTTTTGTTACCCTTTTACTTTTTAATAACCAGTCTCTACCTCCACCTAAAGCCTAAAATGCATCAAACCTCTCCTTTACTGTCACTCTAAGAAGAGGATGATTTTGTAGACTAATAGCTGGCTTTGCCTCATTCTTTTTTTAATATCATTGTGGAAATACCACACAGAGGGGTTACAATTATATGGGCAAGATAGTGAGTATATTTCTTATCAAGCATTGTTGCCTCCTCCTTTGGTTTGCCACATTCTGTCATCCAATATTAAGAAGTATTTTGTTTAAAAAGAGAGAGAGAGACATGTCTAGAAAGAATCACTGGGCCTAATAGGTCAGAGAGGTGAATGCCTCTCTTCCCACTCTAACCTCCACCACACGAGCACATGGATCCCCATTAGTGAAGGGCTCAGTCTGGGAAACATGAAGTTCAGGGACCTGGTCACCAAGACCTTAGGGGATACACGGATAGAAAAAAAATGAGAGGAGTGAAGAGAAGGGGAGCAGGACTGCGTCCTCAACTTCCTTCCCCACAGCAAGTCTTCACGCAGGCGCAGTGCCTTCCCCCGGAGTGATCTGTCAGGGCTGCAGCTGCTCTGAGGAGAAGGCCTCAGTGGGTGCTGAGCCGCGGGGTGGCGGTTGAGGCCTGCAGGCTGGGAGGAGGCCGCTTCAAGGACACAGGCAGGCACAGCCTCCCAGCTGCCTTCGCAGCCCCACCTCACAGGCCACGTTGGGCCCCGGGGACAACTGAGGTCTCAGCCCACTAGTCCCACAGCGCACTGAGGGGACAGCCCGGCAGTCACAGATACTCCCGGTTCCCGCAGTCCGTTCTCCATGACCGCAGCTTCCCACCCACCTGCACCATTGTCTTCGCTGCCTTCTGACCTGTTGAGGCGTCTCTCCTGGGCTCCCAAAGTCGTGGCAGAAATGGAGTCTCCAGGCTGTGTCACCTCACCTCTCACTCAGCCGCAGAGACGAGGAACAAACATGGCGGCAGAGCCTTATCTTGCCGCCCTGCCTTCCACCTGCACTGGTCATTGGACAGTTTTGGAGCCAAGGAATGGCCTTTGGAATTGGCTGTGAAAAGTGGTCCCGCCCCTGACACCTGACTGACAAGCCTGGCAAACTGGATGTTCTAATACCAATCTGCAGCAACAGTGCTTTCATTTCCTTTGCATGAACCTGTATTGGCACTGGCCCTGGCCCTGGCCCTGACCCTGTCTAGGGACTGTTGTATTTACTAGGCATCTGTTCCTGGTTTTTCATAACAGATACCTGCTCCTTTCTGTACTTCTAACCTGCCTTCTCTGTTTTTCCTCATGTGAATTTTGCCAGAAGTGTTCCCAGTAAATCCCATATGCACTATCTGAGGAGAAACCCCATAATTTCAATAAGGAGAGAGACTGGGACAGGCTAAGATACAGGAACCAGATACTTTGTGAAACCAGGATCCCCAGGAGTTTGGAATGAGGCAAATGCCCAATGTTTTCCTATACATTTATGTCATAAGCTATCCATTTGGGGCCAAAACCTATAAAATAAACCTACAAGAAAATAAAATTATCCAATGTATGCAGAAAAAGATGTTAAATGTCAGCAACACTATACTTTGACCAGATTAATTCTCTTCATTGTGCTTTTCACTGACTCATTCCGACTCTAATTTTCAACAAATTTCAGTGAGTTTACTTATTATCCTCTTAGTGTAATCTTGGCCACTAGCGAAGTAGTGATCAGCAGACCACAGTTCATGACCAAAATAAAGAGTTCACAAGACCCATCTCAAGCAATACAAAATTGATGTGGTAGTACTGCCCACTATCTCCACGGAAGGAACATAAGGGGGCTACTATTTGGGCCAACTCAGGAATAAATTCAAGGTCCTATGAAACCAACTGCAAAGGCAAGAAGGGGTGAGGCATTGTGGTAAGACCTTACATGGTAGAAGTTCTGCCTACTACTGACCTCAAACCCCAGCACTGTCTAAGAAAAGATTAAGCTTCATCTCTACACTTCAAAGAATGGACATATAGGTGGTTTCCATTTCTGTTAGTATCAGTGATTTGGAGAACACAAGAGCACAAATGCTTCTGTAGTACTCATAGCATTCCCTTACTCATACATCCACTACTGAGATTAATGCATCATATGAGAATTCTAGTTTAATTGTGAGAAATCATCACATTATTTTCCATAGTGGCTGCACCAATGTGCATTCTTGTCATGAGAGTATAGGAATTTGCTTTTCCTCAACTGACCAGTCCTTTTTTTGTACTAAGTCTTGCTTATATTACTTATTCTTGCCCTTGTGAAGTACTGTCTTTCTGTAGTTTGATTTATATTTTCCTGATGATTAAGGAGGTTGGACACATTATCACACCCCCGTGGCCATTTATATTTTTCTCTCTGTGTGTGTCCAGGTATTATGTCTTGAAAGCATGATATGGCACTCTCAATTTACTTTCTGGCCCATAGAAGTTACTCTGTCATTTGAGACATGTCTATAGTCCTGCTTTTTTGCTGGTTAGCTGGAATGGCATATCCAAGATTATTCTGCCTGGGTTGGCTTTAGATGGATGCAAAGAGTGTGGAATATGGGATTAATGATATAAATGTATTTTTACTTTTTTTGGGGGAAATCCAGCAATGCTCATGTTGCTTGCACTAATTGCAGAACCACCAACAGTGGGTTTTTTCCCCCATGTCATCACCAGTTACATAAATCCAGTATTGAGTAATTTCTTTTTGTACTGTGTCACATCTCCCTCATTTTCTCCAGATTTTTTCCTCCTGACCCCTCTCCTCTCCAAGTTGTCTAGTTATTATTTTCTTCTTTCTAATGGCTGAGTATAATTTTATTTTGTATAGGTACCACATTTTATGGATCTACTCGTCTATTGTGGGGCATATGGGCTGTTTCCATATCTTGGCTATTGTGAATAACGCAGCAATGAATGTGGATGTGCAGGTGTCCTTACCATACCTTGGCTAATAATGTTCAGGATAAATGCTTAGAGGAATAGTATGGCCAGTTGTAGGGAAGATCTATGTTTAATTTTTGGAGGAACCTTCAGACAGCTGTCCTGTGCTATTTTCAGTTACATTTTCTTCATGCTACTAACAATTTAGTTCTTTGTGGGAGCAGTACTAAGACTTAAGTCAGGGCCTCAGGCTGTTGGTTGACCTTTTCACTAAAGGCTAGCATTCTACCATTTGAGCCATACCTCCTCTTGCTAAAACATAGTGAATTATGTTATATCAATAATATAAAGGAGTTCCATACATGTACATCTTGTGGGTGAAGATGGGAGGGAAAACTGGAATAGAGCAAAGGAAGGGGAGACATGGTCCAAAAAGAATTGTACTCATTATATGATTCATTTACATGTATATCATCTCTAGCAATAAAAAATTAAAATATTAAAAAATCATGTCATTTGATAATATTGTTCAAAATGCTGAAATATTTTATAAGGCAAGTAATAATTTACAATTATAAGTCTAATACATGCTTAATAATAATATTTGGTAAGATTTACAGCAATTATTTGGTACATAAGCTGTCCAACCATGACCTCTCTGATCCCAAGGAGCTGGATTGTAGGCTTGAGCCACTATGCCAAGCAAATTTAGAATTGTTAATTAAACTTTTGGAGGTAGGATTAGTTCTTTGGTTTGTGTCTAGACCATTAAAAAGACAAAACTACATGCTTTAAAAATTGCTTTATAATAATGGTAAAATGTGACAAATTGTTTCTATTAAAATATTGAGTTTGTTAAAACTTCAATAGTTCAGAAAAGAAGAGCAAGAATTGCGAAATGTGATTATATCATACTATAACATAGCAAAGTAAAGCAGTTATTAAACTGTATTGATAGCTGGCAAGTGATTCATAACCATAATATACAAGTGCCCAGAAATGAAACTCCTAAAGCATCAAGAAGTCAATTAGCAAATTGGCAAATAAACTTAAAGACAAATAAACTTAAAGAACAAATGTGGAAGAAATATAGGAAGAGATTCTTAACATCCATGGCCAAAAAAAGCAAAACTAAATGACATTGAATTTTATCTCACTCACGTCACAAGGTTTATCATCAAGATCACAATAAATGGTGGTGAGAATTCCCACTATGCATGGAAATATAATTTTATGCAACCACTATGGAGATGAGTATGTAGGTTCCTTTATTTTGTCGGTTGTGGGGCTTGAACTCTGGGCCTGGGCGCTGTCCCTCAGCTCTTCAGCTTAAGGCGAGCACTCTACCACTTGAACCACAGCACCACTTCTGGAGAAAAGAGTATCACAGACTTTCCTGCCCAGGCTGTCTTTGAACCGTGATCCTCAGATCTCAGCCTCCTGCGTAGCTAGGATTACAGGCATAAGCCACTGGCACCTGGCAGTTTCTTTAAGCAACTATAGATGTATTCATCAGTGTTACTCACAAGACACTATCTTGAAAATGAACTACACAAATTATGGGCTGGAATAGAAGGGAAAAACTGGAAGAGAGTGAGGTCAGGGGTGATATTGTTCAAAAGGAAATGTATTGTTCATCTGACTTACATAACTGTAACACCTCTGTACATCACCTTTATAACAATAAAAATTAAAAGAGAAACTAAAGATTATGATATGATCCAGTGCTACCACCTTGTTAGACTGATTGAAATCATTTAATTTACATGTGTAAATGTCTAAAGATCTCTGTATAGCTACCATATACTACTAACATTTGAAGTAATAAGGGATAAAATCCTATATATTGCAAATGTACAAGTATAAAAGATCAGTGACAACTTCATTAGAAATTGATTTTTTCTAAGAAATTTATTTTATTTTTAAAGCCATATGAACTTTAAAGAATATATGTTGTTTATTTCTTACTGTATTTTGTGACATTTTCTGATGCAGAATGAAAGTGTATCATAATACCCATCCAACACTACAGCCTTGATACAGTATATTTACTGCCTTGAAATATCTCTCTTCTCCAGGACTACTGATGTCTTTGCATGGGATTTGGTTGACCAGTATAAAAACAGAGTTAGTTTTGATATGGATTTAGGTTTGTGAAAGACAAAGGGATTTCCTCCATAAGCATATTTTCTCAGAAAACCATAAATAAAAACACAACATAGCTAGTAATGTAGCTTAGTGGTTGAGTGCTTGCCTAGCACGCATGAAGCCCTGGGTTTGATTCCTCAGTACCACATACACAGAAAAAGCTGGAAATGGCGCTAAGGCTCAGTGGTAGAGGACTAGCCTTGAACAAAAGAGGCTCAGGGACAGTGTCCAGGCCCTGAGCTCAAGCTCCAGGACAGGCAAAACAAACAAACAAACCACAACACTTTGAGTCTGTTAGTGCATCATGAAAATGTCTTGATCCATGTTAGCATGTTTAGTAAAAAGCACCTCTTTGAAGGCAAAAGTTCAAACTGAAAAATGTGTGAGGAGAGAGTGAGGGAAGGGGTGATATTGTTCAAAAGGAAATGTGCTGTTCACCTGATTTACATAACTGTAACTGCTCTGTATATCAACTTGGCCTTGACATGGAGTTACTGATGTGTAATTGCTGGTTTCAGCAGTATCAATGCTTCCTCTGGTAAATTTGTGCAGGTGTCTGAATTTGGAATACTTATTGAATCCTGTCTGGATCAACCAGCAATGTTCTGTGACTGTTATAGACACTGGGTATGGGAAGCAATCTTCTTGGGTGTGATGCACTAACTTTGATTGACTGACATTATACTGGCTTAGACTTTTTCTGGCCATTTCACCATGTAGCTGACATGGCATCTTCTGATACAATGAATGAAGTTACGTCATCCCAAATGGCTTTCATTCTAAAACTTTCTTGGCATAAATCAGGGATCATATGTATCAAAGAGAACTTCATCTCTAGGGCCTTCGATGAAATCATAGCACCTGAGGTGGAGAAAGATCTGCAAACATATTTTCCAACTTGTGATTTTTCTCCTGGACTCAGAGCCTCAGATGCAGAGCTTCAGGGCTGAGAGTTTTACACACCTCTCCTGGGCACTAGTTAAGGATGTGATGAAAGAAGGTAGGTTAGAATGTCTGACTCTGTCCATAAAGGCCCATCTGCATATACACACACAAATAGAAGATACATGTATATACATACCTGACACTGTGGGCTCCACTTCCAGACAGAATTCTAGCTTGACAGATGTTTCAGTGATGTTTACTTTGACTTTTCTAATCCTTTTCCAGCTTCCCCCACTTGTCAGTGTCTTGGATGGCACCAGCTGCTTTTCTAGAATGAAACAGAGAGCACATATGGATGGAGATGTGATGATTGCTGGGTTTTTCCCTCTCTATACTTTGGGAAGAGATCACAGTGTCAGTGATACTTCTAAGCAAGAAAAGAACACACAGTAAGTAATTCATTGTTTGGTTTTCATATACTATTTTGTTCCCAGGATGGACAATGGCTGAGGGAACTGTGGGTGCACACATCACTGTTCTCTGTATCTTCTACCCTGACCTCTACTTCACTAGAAAAATGTTTTTTAAATTATTATTACTACCATCATCAAAGGACAAATGAGTTGCCATTGAACAAAGCTGTTTATGAGTATCTTAATCAATGTCCTCACTCTTCTTAATTTTGTATTGGACTCCTAACTGCATTCTCCCTTCTTCTCTTCTGCATTTGTTCAAGCCTTCCTTCTTACATCAGTCCTTTTGAGTACCTGATGCCTAGTATTTTATATCATTAAATTTTGACTTTACCTAAGGAATTGCACAATTTGAATTCTTCTTTGAATCTACAACATTTCATTTAATACATTTGTATACACTCATCTACTTTTGAAGGATTTTCTGTCTGCTAATAGGAGAGGACTCGTTTCCATGTAGCTTCTCCTTTCCAGGGCTGGAATTTCATGGCCGCATCCCTCTAGCTCTATATCGCCTGCCTTTGCAGAAGATGAAGTGATGTTATTACTAACAACCTGCATTAGTGGCATGAGTTCTGTACTTTGAGCTTGCAGACACATTTCCTGCTCCATAGGCCAGTAGTATGAGAAGTTTCTTTTGGTAAGTATGAGGTGGCATCTATTTTGTTGACTTTGATCAAAAAAATTCTTGCTGTACAGATGCAGCTACTGTTTCAGACTAAGCTCTATTTAATTTCATATCAGATTTATTGCATGATCCAGCAGCTGCCAGACATTCCAGCAATAAAACTTCTTTCATGACAGAGTTTATCTGCCCTAGATTTGTTCTCCTTGTGCACATGTGCACCCTGAAGTTCTGGTCTGCAGCTGAAGGTCTCTTTAATAAATGGCTAAGGAGGAATTTCCAGAAATCGCAGCAACTGATTTGATTCCTGTTTCAAGATAAAAGTCATTGCTAAAGGAGTTGCTATATAAAAAAGCAGTTTATGAATACATTACACCTCAATCAATGTCACCACTTCCATCATTCTCACTCAATCTTCCTCTATCCAACCCTCCCTACTGTTACTTTTGTAGAATATACATTGGACTCTTGGCCCTGATCAATTTCTTTCACCTGTTTTCAAGTGCTGACATGACAAAGGTAGATTAAGATGGCTGCACACGCTTGGGGCACAGAGAGGGCAGGATACGGACTTACTCGCTTTGCAGATATTGAAAAAATCTGAAGTATTGTGGGATCTGAAACCTGATACTTCCTATCACTCCTAGATACTTGATTTTCTAATTTCCACTACTTTTCTACTTTCACTTGATTTCCCTTTACCTGACTTTCCTGACATTGAATCTTCTGGTTCAATAGGTGGATGTTTCTTAGTTACTTGAAGATATGAAGGGTTGTTGTTGATAATCAGGAAGTAAAATGTATGGATGCTGTAGGTTAAAGATAGTAATGTGTCATCCATGAAGTCTTTGCATAAAAGGGCCAATGCAATTAAGTGACATTGGGTGGAAGTACTGACTCAACTCTACACCCACAACATCATAGTGATGTTTTTCAGTTGTTATTACAGGTATTTGTGCCATACAAACTAGTTCATTATTGTATATTGACATTGCATGTCTCATACTTTGATTATATTCACCCATTCTATTTGTAATATTTGCAATTTGTAATTTATTATGCTTCCTTTCACATCCTGTTTCCCTCACATATCTCTAATTTTCTCTCCATGTTTTTGTACATTACAGATAGGACAGAAAAGATGATACTTATACTCATGATACTTGCTTAATTTGCCTAACAGGATGATCCCCATTTCCATGTATTTTCTTACAAATGCACCTTCATTTCATTCTATAACACTTGGACACCCAAAGTGATCCCATAGTTGGAATTTGTATGTCAACAATCACAAACATGTTGAATTTAGACACCTTTGGACAATTACTTAATCATAAAAAGCCATATGCTCGTGGCTCATGCCTGCAATCCTAGCTACTCAGGAGATTGAGATCTGAGGTTAGTAGTTTATAGCCAGCCCAGTCAGAAAGGTCTGTGACATTCTTTTATCTAATTAATTATTGAAAAAGTCAGAAATGCTGTTGTGGCTCATGTGGTAGAGCACTAGCTTTGAACAAAAGGAGGCTCATGGACAGTAGGACCGCCAAAAAAAGCGAACGTTTTCTTTTACCCTTCCTTTGCAATATCCATAGATTTTGATATTCTGTTTTCACTTTCATTTTTTATTTCTTCAATTTTGACGACTCATTGGTGGCTAGAAAATAATTCACTTACATTTTGTGTATGTGCATGTTTTCCAACTTTTACTGTTAATGTTTACCATTACTATTCTGTAGTCCCAATATATGTTAAAGAATATGTCAATATTTTTAAATTTTTGAGTCATCTCGTGATCTATCCAGAAAAATGTTCAATATGTGAATAAGAGACGTTCTGTTCAGAAATTAGGTGAAATGTTCTGTAGGTGTGAGCCTCGCTTGATATAGGGTGAAATTCCTCTCTGCTGAATCCATGTTCATTTTGTCTCTCCAGATATCCTTTAGTTATGATTGTATTGGGGAATCATCTCTCCTTTCTGTCGGTATTTCCTACATGAAGTGAAATGCTTGGATAATGCACTTAAAATTGCTAACTTATATTGTTGATTTGATCTTTTTGTTGTTGAAATGTAACCTTTTCAGTTTTCATTGTTTTGAAAGTCTACTTGACATGACATGTTACAGATACTCCTGTTTTGTTCAGTTTCCATTTGTATGGACTGCCTCCACTACATCCCTTTCAGTGTATGGGAGCCCTTAAAGGTGAAGTGGGGTCTTTGGAGGTAACATAGAGTTTGGCACATGGTGGTACTGGGGTTTGAAATTAGTGCCTATGTACCATTCCAGAGTACTTTTGCTTAAGGCTAGCACTCTGCCACTTGAGCCACAACTCCACTTTCACCTTTTTGTGGTTAATTGGAAATAAGAGTCTCATAGACTTTTCCTGTCCATACTATTTTGGAATCATGATTCTCAGATCTCAACCTCTCCAGACAATAGGGTCAGTCACAGGAATGAGTCACACATGCTTGACTTCAGTCACCTATCTTTTAAATGACTAATTTTATGCATTTTTGATCCTATTCACTGTTGACAGATCACGTCATTATGTAACTTGTTCTCTAGTTTCACAGAAACTTCTTCTATGCTTTCTCTCTTGTAAAGAATCAATGATTAATAAGTGAATTCACTAGTAATCTGTTTTGATTTTTCTTTGTCTAAGACCAGGATTCAAACTTGCCATCTGATGCTTTTGCTCACTAGCAGATGCCCTACTAAATAATCCATGCCTTTTGATTTCTTGGTTATTACTTTTCATTTGTCTATTATGGGTTTCCATTTGTAGTTAATAAGAGGATTAAAATATACTTGATTATAGCAAATTATTTTGTAATGAAAACCACTATCCAGGATGACAAGGATGGGAAGCAAACAAAAGAACAAGAAAAATGTATCCAGGAGAAAGGAGGCAAACCATGATCAAAATCCATTAAGTAAACGTAAAGAAATGTTATAGTGAAATCTCTTTATACATAAAATAGCAATCATGTACAAATAAAACTCTTGTTACTGCATTGTTGTCTTCTAATTTTTATATTTTTGTAGATTGAATATTGGGAATATGGTAATATTTTCCATCTTCTGTGCATATTTTCACTGGTACATGTACATGTTAGAACATTCTCAGCTTGTTTGTATAATCATCCTTGACAGTAAGTTTGATATATTCCTATATATTTTCTTCCACATAAATGATTCCTTTTATTTGAACAAGTTCCTTTACAATATCTTCTAGAGTATATCTTCTATATTCTCATAACTTTGCATGTCTAGGAAACCTTTACCCCTCCATCACTTTAACAGGATATCTTTGCTAAGTGTTATATACTTTGTGGATAATTTATGTTTGTTATCCTCAGAATTATACAGATCTTATTCTATGTGCTCCTGGACTGTATGGATTCTACTAAGAAGTCAACTATTAAGGAAACAAAAACACACTAATGTGCTATTTTTCTCTCACAGACGAGAATATTCTGTAAAATTCTGTGTATTTTACTTGTGAGAACTTGATCATAAGAGAGTTTACTGTAGATGTCATTGTGGAAGTTCTATTAATCTTTGATCTTGCTAACCATGGATATTTTAATTTTATCTACATTAAGAATTGTTATTCTATTCTGTTGTTCTGTTTGAATAAGCATTTTACCTTATTCAATCAGTTACTAAACTTTAACAGTACTGACATTTCCTTTTTATTTAAAACTACTTGCCAATTTTTTGTAAGGATTGACATTTTTTATTATATTTAAAAGAGGTAGAAAAATATACTTGCTAATTTCTAACAAATACTTTTCAGGTCTACAATTCTTCCTTTTGGTTTACCTTTCCATATGAATATTTTCATTTTTTTCAGATTTTCTTCAATATCATTATTTTCTTCTGTTTTAGGTTTAAGATTATTTTTTTAAAATTTTTATTGAATTTTTTATTGTTACTATAAAGGTAATGTACAGAGGAGTTACAATTTCATAATTCAAGTAATGAGTATATTTCTTTGGACAGTTACCCCTTAACTTTTTCCCATTTTTATTTATTTATTTTATTTTCATGTAAATTTTTTTTTATTGTTATCATAGAGATGATATACAGAGGGAATACAGTTATATGCATCAGGTAATGGATAATGGGTATATTTTTGAATGTTTCCCATTATCTCGCTCTCACAGTTTTTTCCTCCTGTTCCCAACCAGAAGAAATAGAGTTTATTTTCTCTACATAGTGTCTAGTGAATACCACAGTTATATTTTTTCACCCTTTTCTGTGTTCTATTATCCTCCCAAGTACAAACCAACAGGACAAAAGAAAAAACCGGCAACAATGGCAACTAAAAAAATGTCTCATATCCTTTTCTAGAGTTCATTTCATAAAACGTTTTTTGCATGATCATATGCACATAGCTTTGTCTTTGTCAACTACTCCTATGCATAGTCCTCAGTGTGTGAATGTCTATAGTCATATATAATTTATCATGTCCCAGAGTATATGTATGTGTATGTGTACGTGTGTGTATGTGTGTGTATGTGTATGTATGTATACTTTATATAAACATATATAATATATAAACATATGCATATGTATGTATATGTTCATGTATGCATATACATCTATAAAGTATTTAAATGTGTATATACAAAAATATATATTATATATAAACTAGATGTATGTATACACACATACATATATATTTTAATCATTAGGTGTGTTTACTTATATACTTATAGGTACATTCTAGTTACCATAAATGAGGGAAACCATGGAGTTTATATTTGTTTGGGTCTGGTTTACTTTGCTTTATATAAAATGGGATTGTATCAAACTAAAGATCATCTATGTGGCACATGACATAGCTAGCAAGCCCACAGAATGGGAGAATATCTTTGATAGCTACGCATCAGATAAGGGTAAAATACATTTAAAGATCAAACAATTAAGAGCCCAATCAATAAATGGGCTATAGACTTAAAGTGAGACTTCTTAGAGGGAGAAGTAAGAATAGCCAATACACACACGAAAAAGTGTCAATATCTCTGGCCATAAAAGAAATGCAAATCAAAACACATTGAGATTCCATCTCACTCTATTATCAGGAAAACTAACAATTACAAATGCTGGCAGGGATGTGTCCAAAAGGGAATTCGGTTCCACTGTTGATGGGAATGTAAACTTGTTCAATGACTCTGAAAAGCAGTATGGAAGTTTCTTAAAAGACTAAACATAGAGCTACCCTATGACCCAGCAATCCCACTCTGGGCATTTATCCAATGGACTACAACCCAGGTCACCCTAAATCCACCAGCACAGTCTCATTCATTGCAGCATTGTTTACCATAAGCAAGATATGGAATCAATCCACATGTTCCTCAGTGGAGGAACAGATCAAAAAACGTTGTATCTATACACAATGGAATTCTACTCATCCACCAGAAAGAATGATATTGTACCATTCATAAAGAAATAGAAAGACTTGGAAAAAATCACATAAAGTGAAGTAAGTCAGGTTTGAAAATTGTAATCATTCCATACATGTATATAGGAAATGTTGGACAAGTTTACTCCCTCATTGGTATAACAATACCACCTTCATCTTTCCCTTTTTTCAAATCATGTGTGTTGAGTTTAATTATGATATCTTCTTGTGTATGGCAGAGAAAGAGATAGAGAGAAGAAAAGAGAGAGCAGACTTTGATTCTCTTTATTCCTTGTATCATTTCCTTTTCAATATCTCAATGTGTGTTTTGGGAAGAAGGTAGTACTCATCAAGGCATTTCCCAAAACTGCATTTCACCATGGGAATTTGGGGAGATGGGTTTCAGCATAAGGCTTCATATCATGACAATTTTCTCCCCATACCCTAGTTGGAAGCTCCTTTCTTTATGATTAGTTTCTTGAAGTTTAGTGAAGTGAGTTAACATAGGAAACTACATTGTGTTGCATTTAAAAAGCATTTTATTGACTCAGTTATATGTTAGAACTGATCACTGTCTCCTGATATTTGGGTTTTTGTTCTGATAACTAGTACAGACAGAGCTGTTCAAGGTGATAGGTCTCTGAAGAGAGCCAAAGGATCTTCTTTAAATGAGCCCATCACATGTCATTTAACGATAAACTGTGTAGCTGTAAAAACAAAGATTTGTCACATATATGGAGCTAGTTTTTCCAGGATCAAGGTAAAAGAATATTTGGTGTCTCTTGAGAGCCTATTTCATGTTCTATGGAAAGCAAACTTTTGGTATTGTACATGAAAGAGAAAAATCGTGCTCCCTAAGCATTCATGTGGACACTACATTACCATTCAATCTAAAAGGGTGTAATTTTCTGCATATTCATTTTACAAAGAAACAAACATTAAACTCATTGAAGTTATTGCATTGACTTGAAGATAAAATTTGAATTACTCCTGAAAATTTTCTTATGTCTATGGTGTAGGATTGCCTTCAAGAACTACCAGTTTGTTCTGGCCTTGGCTTTTGCTGTTGAGGAAATCAACAAGAACCCTGATCTTTTATATAACATGACTCTGGGATTTGATATTTATAATGCTGATTTCAGAGCTTGGTCAACACTTGAGAATCCCTTTGTTTGGCTTTCTGGGCAGTACAAGATCCCTAATTACACCTGCATGAGAGAAAGTAACTCTGTAGCAGTACTCACAGGAATATCAGCAATAACATCTGCCCAGATTGGGACACTGCTGGAACTCTATAAGTTTCCTCAGGTGAGGATGGGAGGGATGCAGATGTGAAAAGATGTTTACTTTGGTGCTTATTTTCAGGTGAAAGGAAGAGATAAGACATATAAACCTATCAAGTTTTATGATATCAAGGGCTTAATACAAAACATAATTGGATATCTATATTTCCATTGGTTAAGAGAAGATGGACAAGCTGGAGCAGCAAGGGAATGACCTGGGGCTGAGAGTCTATTGAATAATTTTGTAGAAAACAGTCAAGATGTTGGAAAAAAATTTTTAAATGTGAAATTAAAAATAAAAATTAAATAAAAATGTGAACTTAACCAGATGCTGGTAGATTATGCTTGTAACTCCAAGCTATGCAAGAGGATGAGATCTGAGGATAATGGTTCCAGCAGGAAAGGCAATGAGACTAACCAGAAAAATGCTAGAAATGGACCTGTGGTTCCAAGTGGTAGAGTGCAGGAACCATGCTCAGGCCCTGAGTTCAAGACTCAGGACTGGAAGAAAAGGGAAGATATTTTGTGAATGAAATTAGGCTGAGAAAGACAAAATGGGAAGGTTTTGTCTCACATGTGGAAATTAGATTTAAAATATAAATATAAAATATAAAACAAATATGAAAACACATGCACAGCAATTAGGACTTTACATGAATATGTTGACTGAGAATGTTGTACAAAATGATGGATTTCCATGGTGTAACTGCTCTGAACAATTAATAGCAGGAAATTGAAACATGTTTTACTAATAATGGGGTAAGTATAAAGAGAATGGTGTGGGGAACAGAGGAATGAAGAGAGGACCGATGGCAAATACAGTTGTATTATTCACATTTATATGTAATACTAAAATGAGGAAATGAATAGGCTTGTTATGGATAACAGAGTTACACTGATCAACAGGCATTGCATGCAGTAACTGATACACTCAAATTAAAGACCTTTGTACAACTCTTTTTAAAACAATTTCACATTTGTTTTCCAAAATTACACAAACTAAAAAAGACCCTTCCCTATATCCATTTAAACCTCTTCCTTAATATTTAAATACAGACTGAGATTGTGAAAGACTGCAATCCTCTTACAGACTCTCCAATTTTCTTTCTCTGTAGCTTACCTTTGGGCCTTTAGATCGTGTCCTGAGTGAACAAAGCAAGTTTCCTTCTCTCTATCAGATGCCCCAAAAGGACACATCACTAGCCATTGCCATGGTCTCCTTGATACTTCATTTCAGCTGGAACTGGGTAGGGCTATTGATCTCACTAGATGAAAATAGTTTGTGGATAATTTCAGAACTGAGAGAAGAGATGGCTAAGAACAGAGTTTGTGTAGCCTTTGAGCATGTGATTTCAAGCAATATGTTCATGGAAGTAACAAATTACATAAGATTCCATCACCAGATTAATAACTCATCAGCAAATGTATTTATCATTTATGGTGATAATGAACACCTACTAAACTTAACGCTGTATTTTGGGCAATTTTTAATGACAGGCAAAGTTTGGCTCATGACTTCACAGAGTGAGTTATTCATCAGTAGAAGATATTTCATGTTAGGCTCATTCCATGTCCATCTCATTTTTTCACACCACCATCCAGACATTTTTGGGTTTAAGAATTATGTCAGGGAAGTTAATCCTTCCAAACACCCAGAAGACTTTTATCTTGCTCGGCTGTGGGTTCTTTCTTTTAATTGCTCATATTCTGAATCTGACTGTGTAACATGGGAGAACTGTCCCCAGGATGCCTCCTTGGAATGGTTGCCTGGACACATTTTTGAAATGGCCATGTCTGAAGAGAGTTACAATATATATAATGCTGTGTATGCTGTGGCCCACACAATTCACAAGATGCTTCTTCATCAAACAGAGGGAAATGGGAAAGGGATAGTGCCTTCTCCTGTCCAGGTAATATCTTGTTTGTTGGATTTGATGCACCAAAAATAAAATGAATCTAAATATGTTCAAATTTTCAAAAATTGTGGGAGAAACTTTCTTTAAATGTTGCTGAAGTTTCTTCCAACCTATGTTCCTACATTCTTCAAGAAAAACATGCCATTGGAAGGGAGGAAATGCATTTTATGTACCCATTATGTTTTTGTGTGTTACAAATGACCTCAGTAAATTCACAGCTAATATTTTGAAACTTGTAAATCTAGCCTTTCCTATGAGTTTCTTAAACAGTAAATGTCTTGGCTTTTTGTATACCTTAATACTTAAAAATGATCTTCTGTTAGGAAAGTAAGTTGGGTGATTGGAAAGATGGGGTAGAATGATGTAAGAGGTGACATTGATAAAGATGCATTGTATTCATAAACACATTTATTGAATTGAAACCTTTTTACAGAATACTTAAAAGATAATGATAAAAATTTAAAGAATATACAATTTCCATGCATAAAATATTAATAAATAAATATATACCTAAGAAGAAATAAGCTTCTTCAGTTCCACTCTAGTCACTATCAAGTTAGCCAAGTGGATGTCCCTAGATATTCATAAAGTACATAAAAAAGAAATGAGCTTCCTTAATTCCACTTTGAGTACTACTAATTTAGCAAACTGGAACTCCCTGGAGATTCATAAATAAGCAGTTGAGAAAAACTGTAGGTATGCAACTTAGAATTCTCTCATTCATGACTATTTACATGGAGCGGGTTTGTCTTGTAAAGAGGCCTTATGATGATCCTTTTATAAGTTAGGAATATTCAGAAACATTATTTTAGTCTTCTAGCGAGTTTTGTGTTGTTCTACTTCATGTGGTGTGTGTTAATCTAGAATTACAGCGCAGGTTTAAAAGACTATGAGGAGCATTGTATAATTCAGCTTTCCTGTCTTAACTCCTGGATTCATTTCACCAGAAGATGTATCTATTTTAGCTGCACCCTTTTCTGAAGAAGATCCAATTTCATAATCCTGCTGGAGACCTAGTGATTTTGGATGAGAAAGAGAAATTAGAAGCAGAGTATGACATTGTGAACAACTGGAATTTTCCAGAAGGTCTTGAAGTTAAGGTGAAAGTAGGACTATTTTCTCCATATGCTCTACATGGTCACCAACTGTCAATATCTGAAGATATGATAGAGTGGGCCATAGGAACTACTGAGGTGAGCTGGACCTAACCACAATGATTTGAACTACATAAAAGCAAAAATGATCCCTAAATTTTAAGTCTCTTTGTTCTCATTAATTTTCCAAGCGTTGGATAGTTACTGTTAGCTTGAGGAAATTTCTTATTTGCTGACTCTTGGATGTAAAATCAGTATATGAATTCTATGTTTCTAAATGTTAAACTTAATGAAACATCTAAACGAAATGTTATAAGTTTTCTTTCTTTTTTTTTTCTTCTTTTGTCGGTTGTGGGGCTTGGACTCTGGGCCTGGGCACTGTCCCTGCGCTCTTCAGCAAAAGGCGTGAGCGCTCTACCGCTTGAGCCACAGCACCACTTCCTGTTTTCTAGTGGTTTATTGGAGTAAGAGTCTCACGGACTTTCCTGTCCGGGCTGGCTTTGAACTGCGATCATCAGATCTCAGCCTCTTGAGTAGCTAGGATTACAGGCATGAGCCACTGGAGCCCGGTTTATAAGTTTTCTTATATTATGACAGAATATCAGAGAAATCACTTTATAAATAGAAAAGTTCATTTTGCTTCACACTGTGATTGTTTCAGTATAGGCTTTTTTGACCTGTAATTTATGCTTCAGTCGTGAATCTGAGAAGACTGTGTGAGAAGATTTTCACTTCTTGATGATGAAAAATCAGAGAGGAAGAAATGATGTATGGTTGTCACATAACCCTATGTATGGGATGTCTGTGCTTTAGGGAATACTTTGAGAGTATCAATGAGGGGTTGCCTTCATCTTTAGCGACTCCGTAGAAGACAATAATGAATTTGCCATGTACTAGTGGCTCATGCCTGTAATCCTAGATGCTAAGGAGGCTGAGCTCTGAGGATTGTGATTTGGAGCAAGACCAGGCAGGAAAGTCTGTGAGACTCTTATTTCCAATTAATCACAAAAATCTAGAAATGGAGCTGTGGCCTAAATTGGTGAAGTGTCAGCCTTGAGCAAATAGTTCAGGGACAGTGCCCAGGCCCAGGGTTCCAGCCCAAGAAGCAGCCCAAGGATGGGCCCCCTTCCTTGCGCCCAACACACATAATATATTTAAGGGTTGGCCATCTTAGTATTAGGTTCTACCTCTTAAAGTTTCAAAACTTCCCAATAGTACCTTGGGCTACAAATCAAGACTACAACACATAAGCCTTTGGGGATCATGTCATATGGAATCTCTAACAGTATTTGATCAACTGATTGAGTTTAAATGTATGGATATTGTTTTTAATGGTCCAATTGATATGAAAACTTAACTATTTTGGTGTGGAAGGTAAAAGTCTGAACAGTTAACAACACATATCTGATTTTCCTCAGACCCCATACTCAGTTTGCAGTGAGAGTTGTGATTCTGGATTCAGGAAATCCCCTCAGGAGGAAAAGGCTGCCTGTTGCTTTGATTGTATCCCTTGCCCAGAGAATGAGATTTCTAATGGGACAGGTAAATCCTTGACTTAAGTAGAAATTCTCCCTAATGTTCTCTGATTAATACAAGTAAAAAGAAATTAAGATTGCAGAGCCAAAGCTTCCCTTTCTTTAGTTCCTAACATTTGATGATATTGCTTCTTGAAATTATACAAATCATGGCCTGGAATTACATCATCATTAGTTTTTTCCTAGCCCAATGTATGCATGATTATCTCATGAAAACTCACTTCTTGATACTCAATAATGTAAGTGTAACTTCTTATCATATTAATACAAAGCCAAATTTAGGGTAGGGTCTCCATGTTCTTCTAGATTCCATTTACAAAACAAGGAAAACATGGATCATGTACACAGTGCACAGAACTGCTCTTGCCACAGTGCAAGTGCTCAGAAGCTGAATTTGGTTTCAGAAAGACAAGTGTTGTGCATAGCATGATGTTAGAACTTCAAAGTGTGGTTTGATCCTCTGTTCCCCACTGCTTCAAAGGGGAGGAGGAGAGACAAATATATGTCATGAATTCAAGGTCATGCCCCAGAGCTTCTATTAACATTTACAGAGATATATACAGAAGTGTAAGTCATATCCACAATTTATTATGGGGCTTAGAAGTTGTGTACAGAATGCTAACAATAAATGTTATAGCAGCATTAAATAGTGAGGAAAATGATTATGATATTAAAAATGACACAATGGCACATTATCAATGTGAATGATAGTCACTGAAGGTAAAAGGTTCAATCTGACAAAAAACAATGTGGGAGTGAGGTTGAGCTTATGGGTTAGAAAAGAGTAAACTAAATACTGAACTTTAAAAATTTTTATTTTTATTATTATAACAGGTGATATACAGAGGGGTTACAGGTACATAAATCAGGTAATGAGTACAATGGTTTTTGAACCATTTCTCCCTTCCCTCATTCTTTCCCAGTTGTTTTCTCTTGTCCTCACCCACAAGATTAAAGTGCATATTCCACAGTGTCCAATTAGTACCACTCTTGTATTTTTTCACCATTTGTTTCACCATTTATGTGCCCTCCTGTAGTTTGTTGTACATACAAACTAACAAACAAGACAACAGGAAAAGAAAACAACATAAGCAACAACAGTAACTAAAAATATCTCATTTCCTTTTCTTGGAGTTCATTTCATAAAAAAAGCCTGTACTGAGGCTTGAATTCTGGGCCTGGGTGCTGTCTCTGAGCTCTTTTTGTTTCCAGGTTAACACTCCACCACTTGATGAACAGCATAACTTCTCATTTTTCTGTGATTCAATTCAGATAAGAGTCTCACACACTTTCCTTCCTGGGCTGGCTTTGAATAGAAATCCTCAGATGACAGATTTCTGAGTTAGCTAGGATTACAGGTGTGAGTTACCAGCGTCCCACTCATAAAATATTATTTTATATGAACATGTGCACTTAACTATTGAGCCTTTTTCAAACACTCCTATGCATATCCTTCTTTGGCCTCAGTGTATGAATGTTTAGGTCCCATATAATTTATCATGTCCCAGTGTGTGTGTGTGTGTGTGTGCGTGTGTGTGTAATAATACACTGAAGGAATAAACACACTGAATAACATATATGTATATATATATACACATATATCTTTCAGTGTGTTTATTTGTAGGTTATTCTCATTTTTATAGGAATTTATAGGCACACTTCCTTCTTAAATGAAGGAAATCATAACACCTACATTTCCTTGGTTTTAGCTTACATCACTTAATATTTTCCAAATATTTCCATTTCTTTACCAGTGCTACAGTACATTCCTTCTGATGGATGAGTAGAATTTCATTGCATATATATATATATATATATATATCACATTATGTTTTTCTTCTGTATATACTTTTTATTGTAAAAATACCTTACAGAGGGATTACAGTTATGTGAGTAAGGTAATGAGTACATTTCCTATTGTTACCCTCTCCTTTATTTTTCCCCTACTATCCCTTTTCTCCTCACCTCCCCAACTCCTCCTCTCTCCCCCCTCTGAAGTTGTAAAGTTCATTTTTAACATAGTGTCTTGTACATCTCATTGCTACAATGGGTCAACCTGTATCCTTTTTTCAGTATTTTGTTATTTCCTTTCCCCTCCTCAAATTAGAAAAATGTATATACAAGATGCGGGGCACTGGAATCAAATACAGTGAAAACAGGGGTTATACCATGGGGGAAGAACATACAAAACAAACAAAATATCACATGGTACATTATAAATACATTAAATACAACAGCAAGAAAGATAAAACCACTTGTGTCCCTATCTTAGGGTTCATTTCGCATAGCATTATCTTATATGGTCATATATACATAGCTTTTGACCTTTTCTGTTTGTCCTAGACATATACTAGTTATTGCAAATAAGGGAAACCATGGGACCTATTTTTCTTTGGGTCTGGCTTAATATAATTTTTTCCAAGTCTTTCCATTTCCTAACAAGTGGGGTGGTGCAATTTTTTCTGATGGAGGAATAGTATTCATATATATATATATTATGTATTATATATAATTTACTATATATATAATTTTCTTGATCCATTCATCAAATGAGGGGCATCTGGGTTGGTTCCATATCTTAGCTATGGTAAGTAATGCTGCAATAAACATAGTTGTGCTGGTAGATTTAGTATGGCCTTGTTTGTGTTCATTTGGGCAAATTGCAAAGTGGTTGAACAAGTTTATACTCCCACCAACAATGCAGTAAGGTTTCCTTTTGGCCAAATTCCCTCCTGCATCTGTTGTTAATAGATTTCTTGATTATAGCCATTCTAACTGGGGTGAGGTGGTATCTCAATGTTGTTTTGATTTGTATTTCTCTTATGGCTAGAGAAGTTGAGCATTTCTTCATGTGTCTATTGGCCATCCTTCTTTCCTCTTCAGAGAAGTCTCTCTTTAAGTCTTTAGCCCACTTATTAATTGGGCGGTTGTTTCTTTGAGGACTTGTTGTTGGGGGATTTAATTTTTTGAGTTCCAGGTATATTTTAGATATGAGACCCTTGTCCGTTGTATGGCTAGTGAAGATCTTCTCCCAATCAGTGGGCTTTCTATTTATCTTGCTAGCTATGTTCTTTGCCATGAAAAAACTCTGCAATTTCATGAAATCCCATTTGTCCAACTTTTCTTTGATTTGTTGTTCTTCTGGGTCTCTATTAAGAAAATTTCGGCCTGTACCAACAAGACCTAGGGTTTCTCCTATTCCATTCTGTAATGTTTTCAGAATGTGTGCTTTGACTCCGAGGTCTTTGATTCATTTGGAGTTGATTCTGGTGCAGGGTGATATGTAAGGATATAGCTTTAGTTTTCTACAAGTGATTAACCAATTTTGCCAGCACCATTTATTGAAGAGGCTGTCTTTCTTCCATTCTATTTTTTAGCTCCCTTATCGAAGATTAGGAGGCTATAGATCTCTGGGTTCATTTCTGGGTCTTCAGTTCTATTCCGTTGGTCCTGAGGTCTGTTCTTGTGCCAGTAACAAGTGGTTTTGATTACTATGGCTTTGTAGTAGAGTTTGAAATTTGGAATTGATCTTCCTTCAGCACTGTTCTTTCTCTGCTAAGGATTGTTTTTGGTATTCGGGGTCTTTTATTGTTCAATGTGAATTTTTGTATTGCTTCTTATTTTTCATTGAAAAATGAGGTTGGGATATAGTTAGGTATCACATTGAATTTGTATTTAGCCTTCAGCACTATTGCCATTTTCACAATGTTACTCCTTCCGATCCAGGAGCATGGGAGGTTTTTCCACTTGCTGGGCTCTGCTTTAATTTACTTTCTGAGGTTTTTAAAGTTTTCTTCACAGAGGTACTTCACTTCTTTAATTAAGTTAACTCCTAGGTATTTTATTTTTTGTGGGGCTATTACAAAAGGAGTTGCTTTCCTAATTTCAGCCACACTCTTTTTGTTACTGGCATACAGGAAAGCCATTGATTTTTGAGAGTTAATTTTATATCCTGATACTTTGCCAAAGTTTCTGATCAGCTCAAATAACTTGGGAGTGGAGACCATGGGGTTCTTTAAATACAAGATTATGTCATCTGCAAAGAGGGAGAGTTTTACTTCATCTTTCCCTACTTGGATCCTCTTTATGTTTACATATTGTCTTATTGCTGTAGCTAGATATTCTAATACTAAATTGAAGAGGAGTGTAGAGAGCAGACATCCTTGTCTGGTTACTGAATTTAGAGGAAATGGCTTTAACTTTTCGCCATTAAGTATAATGGTGGCTGTAGGTTTGTCATACACAGCCTTTATTATATTGAGTAATGTTCCATGGATTCTTAGTTTTTCCAGAGTTTTCATTATAAAGGGGTGTTGGATCTTGTCAAATGTTTTTTTCTGCATCTATTGAGATAATCATGATACCACATTATCTTGATCCATTCATTCACTGAAGGGCATCCTAGTTGATACTTTATCTTGGTTATGGTCAACAATGCTGCAATCAACATGGTTATGTGGCGTAGTGTAACATTTTTTGTGTTCTGCTGGATAAATGGCCAGGAGTGGGATTGCTGGGTCATAGGGTAGCTATATGTTTGCCTTTTTCAGGAACCTCCATATTTCTTTCCATAGTTTATATTACAACAAAAGTATAATAGAGTTCTCTTTTGGCATCATCTCTGCCAGAATTTGTTATAGTTAGTTTTCTTGATCATGCCCATTCTAATTAGGGTGAGGTAGAATCTCAATGTTCACTTTGAACAGTTCTTATACTAATTGGTAATACTTTTCTGATAACAAACCCTGGCATGTTAGTTTTACCTCTAAGCAGGAAAGTTTTAATTTCCATTGAAGAAAGTGCACTACTGAGTGCAGACTAATGGTTATCTATTTTCCTCACAAGATATGGAACAGTGTGTGAATTGTCCAGAGCACCAATATGCCAACACAGAGAGAAACCAGTGTCTCCTAAGAGTTGCAAGTTTCTTGGCTTATGGAGAACCCTTGGGCATGGTCCTGGCCTGTATGGCTCTCTGCTTTTCCACACTCACTGCTGCTGTACTTGGGGTTTTTGTGAGGTATCAAGACACTCCCATTGTCAAGGCCAATAACCGGGCTCTCAGCTACATTCTGCTCATCTCCCTCATCTTCTGTTTCCTCTGTTCCTTGCTATTTATTGGCCGTCCCAACACAGTCACCTGCATCCTGCAGCAGATCACATTTGGAGTTGTGTTCACTGTGGGTGTTTCTACTGTCTTGGCCAAAACGCTGACTGTGGTTTTGGCCTTTAAGGCCACTTCTCCAGGAAGAACGATAAGGTGGCTGCTGGTATCAGGGGCTCCTAACTTCATCATCCCTATCTGCACTTTGCTCCAAGTGACTCTTTGTGGAATCTGGTTGGGAATCTCTCCACCTTTTCTTGACACAGATGCACACTCTGAACATGGCCACATAATCATCCTGTGCAACAAGGGCTCCCTCACTGCCTTCTACTGTGTTCTGGGATACCTGGGAACCCTGGCCCTGGCCAGCTTCACTGTGGCTTTTCTGGCCAGGAACCTGCCTGATACCTTCAATGAAGCCAAGTTCCTGACATTCAGCATGCTGGTGTTCTGTAGTGTGTGGCTCACCTTCCTTCCTGTCTACCACAGTGCTAAGGGGAAGGTCATGGTGGCCGTGGAGGTCTTCTCCATCTTGGCCTCCAGTGCAGGCCTCCTGGGCTGCATTTTTGCCCCCAAGTGCTACATCATCTTGTTAAAGTCAGATAGAAATTCTCTGCATGGCTTCAGGAATAAAGCACCTAAACAGAAAAATAAGATTTAAGATTAATCGTATGTATTTGATCAGTGTATAGAAGGTCTGAACTAAACCTACAGCATTTTCCAGTAAGCTATTAGTTTATATTGTGGGTATTCCTTCAATATGTAAATGGCCTTTAGTCATTTGTGTTGATACCATAGTAGTGTTCAACTTATAATTATCACCATGTTAATATGAATTTTATTCCCTATACCATGGTTCCTCCATTCTATCTGCATTATTTTGGTTAGTCATGGAGCTTCAATTCAGAGCCTGAGCATTGTCCCTGAGATCTTTTGCTCAGTGGTAGCACTCTGTCACTTTGAGCCACTTGCAGTTTTCTAGTGGTTAACTGGAGATAAGGAGGTCATAGACCTTCTTGCTCTGGCTTCTCAATCCGCATTTAATATTACTATCCCCAATTAGTATGCTATCCCTGGTCTGTATTACTCTTGATTTCTCCATTATTTTTCTAAGCATTTAAATAAACCAGATCCTTCCCTATTTATTAACCATCAAATAAATTCCATCAATATCTCTTAACATAGTTCCACATTGCTCATTAGAGTATGCTGTATTCAGCAGTTTCACATTAGCATGTACACATTTGCCTTTTGAAATATTCCTGAGTGTACTTTTCAGAATTCAGCTCTTTCTTCCCCTCTTTATTTTTCAAGTTGTAGGAAAGGTTAGTTATATGTTACAAAAATACACTTCAATGTTGCCTCACAATGTATTTAATATAACAGCTAGTATTTGATGGAAGCTATAGAGGCAAAATAGTAATAGTTGACTTAAACATGGTTGGATATGTTAATGATTTTATCCTTGCTCAATCCCCTCTATTAGGATAGTATAAATATACATACATTAAATAGCCATTTACAATATTTTGTTGTCACACTATCAGTAGATAATAGAGCCTTTTTACTCAAGTCTAATGTTCTACCACTTTGAGCCACAGTGTCACTGCCAGTTTTCTGTTGTTCAATTGGAGGTAGGACTGTTACACTACTTCCTGTTGCATTTTTCAATCCTCTTATTTGCTCTGTTATATAAACTTAATTAAACCCTCTCTCCTGATATTTGAGTTTTTTGTTCTGGTAGCTAGTGGAGAAAGAGCTGTTGTTCAATGTGCTTGGTTTCCAAGAGAGCCATAGAATCTTTCTCAAATGAGCCTTTCTCTAGCCATATAACCATGCAACATAAACTGAGTGGCTGAAAAACAAAGATTTCTTTGTTTGCCTTGATCCCCAAGATCAAGGCAAAAGAATATGTGATGCCTCAAGAGAGCCTATTCCATATTTAACACAGACCAAACTTTTTGATGTGTTGCATATATATATGAAAGACAGAAAAATCACACACTTGGAGCATTCCTGTGGGCACTACATTATCAATCCATCCTAAAGGCGGTAATTTTCCAACATATCATATGCAAAGAAACAAACAAAAACTCATCAAAGTCATTGCACTGATTTGAAGATAAATTTTGAATTACTCCTGATAAATTCCTTATGTCTATTTTGAAGGCTTGTCTTTAAGAACTACCAGTTTATTCTGGCCTTGAATTTTGCTGTTGAAATCAATAAGAACCCCAATATTTTACATAACATGACTCAGGGATTTGATAACTATAATGCTGATTACAGAGCTTAGTCAACATGTGAGAATACCTTTGTCTGGCTTTCTGGTCAGTACAAGATCCCTAATTACACCCACATGAGAGAAAGTAACTCTGTAGCAGTACTCATAAGATTATTAGGAATAACATCTGCCCAGGCTGGGACACTACTGGAACTTTACAGGTTGCCACAGGTGAGGATGGTAGGGATGCAGATGTGAAAAGATGTCTACTTTTGTGCTTTTATACAGGGACATGAAGGGAAAAGATATAGAAACCTATCAAATTTTATGATATCAAAATCTAAATACACAAAGTGGGATATTCATGTTCCCATTGGTTGGAGCACACTAGGGAATGATCTGGGGCTGAAAGCCTGTTGAATAAATTTGTAGAAAGCAACTTAGAAGTGGGAAATAACTAAAAATATGAATTTCTAAAAAATGTGAAATTAGCTGGGTGCTGGTGGCTCAGCCTGTAATCCTAATGACTCAAGGAGGATGAGATATGAGGATCTTGATTTGAAGCCAGCTCTGGCAAGCAAGGCCATGAGACTCTTATCTCCAATTAAACAGAAAAAAAGCTGAAGTGAGATAGGTGCTGGAGGCTCATGCCTGTAATTCTAGCAACTCAGGAGGCTGGGTATCTGAGAATCGCAGTTCAAAGCCAGCTAGGGCAAGAAAGTCCATGAGACTCTTATCTCCACCAGAAAACTGGAAATGGGACTTAGGCTGTAAGTGGTATAGCACCAGCCTTGAGCAAAAAACGCTCAGAAACAGTGCTCAGACACTGAGTTTAAGCTCCAGCACTGATTTAAAAAAAAAGAAAAGAAAAGTTGGATGTGGACCTGTGGCTCCAAGTGATAAGAATGATAGCGCTGAGCACTAAAGCTCAGGGACAGTGGTCAGGACTTGAGTTCCAGCCCTAGGACTGGCAAATAAATGAATAAAAGAATAAAAAATTGAAGTTATTTCGTGAATGAAGTCAAACTGAGAAAGACAAAATGGGCAAGATTTTTCCCCATATGTAGGAATAAAATCAAATGTTTTTGTTAAGATAAAAACATGAAATATGAAATAAATATGAAAATGCATCCATGGCCCTAATCACATGCACATGATACAACTGACTAAAAAATGGTGTACAAAATGGTGGCTTTTCATGGTGTCACTGTTCTAAATAGCAGAAAGTTAAAAAAATGTTTTACCTGATAATAGGGGTTAGTATAAAGGGAAAGGTGTGGAGAACAGAGGACTGAAGAGAGGAGTGCTGATGACAAATACAATTATAATACTCAAATACATATGTAAAAATAAAATGAGGAAATAAGTGGGGTTGGTATAGATGGGGAAGGATAAGAGAAAGTGTTATATAACCAATGGCCATTATACAGACACTGACATGCTCAAATTAAAGATCTTGTACAACTATTTAAAAACAATTTGAATATTGTTCCCCAAACTAAAAAATACCCTTCCTCTCACTGATTTATTCCTTTTTCCTAATATGAGTGAAGACTGAGATTGTGAAGGATGGCAATCCTTTTATAAACTCCCCAATTTTCTTTTCCTTTAGCTTAACTGTGGGGCCTTTAGATTTTGTTCTGAATGAACAAAGCAAGTTTCCTTCACTCTCTCAGATGGCCCAAAATGACCATCACTAGTCATTGCCATGGTCTCCTTGATGCTTCATTTCAGCTGGAACTGGGTAGGACTGTTGATCTCACTAGATAAAAATGGTTTGTGGATAATTCCAGAACTGAGAGAAGAGATGGCCAAGAGCAGAGTCTGTATAGCCTTTGAGCATGTGATTCCAAGCAATATCCTGACACATGAGCACCACCAGATTTATAAATCATTAGCAAACGTATTTAACATTTATGGTGATAATGAATACCTACTGAACTTTACACTGAGGCTGCAGATGCCACACACATGTACACACAAGGGCAGCAATGTGCTGATTACATGTTTTCACTCACAGAAATTCTCTGTGACCACACTTGCAGCCATCTTCTCCTGGACACTGTGGCCAGATATCCCAGGATGCTCTAAGTTGTGAATGATTCCTGTTTTTCTAGCCCCCAGAAATTCAAGAGCTAAGACTTAAGATAATGCACTACACTACAGATAACAAAAAAATGAAACATTTTTTATAGGCAGTAACTTTCTGATTAAAACTTCAAATAGCTCAGTAAAGAAGAACAAGAATTGACAAATAGGATTACCTCAAACTTGAAAACAAAGTAGAGAGTCACTGGACTGAATAGATAGCCTATAGAATTTTTCAAATAAACATCTGGCAAGTAATTATAACCAGAATATCTGAGGAAGCTCAGAAACTAATTCCTAAGGATTTAGCAAGCCAATTAAATTGGCAAATAAACTTAAAGACACTACTCATAACCACAAATATAAATAGCTAAAAAACAATACAAAGATATGCTCAACATCCTTGCCATACTGGAAATGCAAAGTCATACGACATTGAATTTATCTCATTCCAGTGACAATATCTATCATCAAGAACACAAATAAGAAATACTTGTAGGAACATAGGGCAAGAGAACTTACTATTCATGGGAATATAGCTTCATGCAACCACTATGGAAATCAGTATGTAGGTACCTCAAGAAAGTATAAACCAGTATGAACCAGTGCCACCACCTATTGAGACTGAGGCCCATTGCATGCATACATATATGTCTAAATAAACCCTCTGCCCAGCTAACATATGCTACTAAGAATTTTAAAACTAAGTAATAAAACATTATATAATATAATGAGTATGTATGCATAAAAGACTGGAGGAAGCCTCACTACATTTTTTCTCCTGAATATTTTTTGTCTGGTTGTGGGGCTTGAACTCAGAGCCTGGGTGCTGTCCCTGAGCTCTTCAGCTCAAGAGTAGTGCTCTACCACTTTGAGCCACAGCACCACTTCTGGTTTTCCAGCGGTAACTGGACATAAGAGTCTCATGGATTTTCATGCGTAGGCTGACTTTGAATGGTGATACTCAGACCTCAGCCTCCTAAGTTGCTACAATTACAAGTGTGAGCCACTGGTGCCTGGTGCTCCTGAATTTTTTAAGTATGTGTATCATTCAGTCTTTCATTTTTACTCTGATTCATATTTTCTTATACTCAGTGCATGATTATGGGCAAGTGTACTACAATATGCATCAAACAATAAGTACAGTCTTGTACAGAGTGTGTTCAATGCCATGAAGTATCTTTGTTCTCTAGAGAAAATGGGGTTGCTGGAAGGAACTTGGGTCTAATATATTTTTCACAAGTAGAAAACATACAGTTGGTTTGGATATTGATTTAGGTTTTTGCCAGAGAAGATTTTCCTCTCTTACCACATATTCTCAGAACAGTGTATCATGAAAATGTCTTCAT